CCCGTGCCATTCCTCCTTGCTTGGCTTTTGCCGTGCTCGTATGGACGAGAAAAAAGAGAAGGCAACTACAGCCTGCGACAAATCTCTAATTGCACTCGTTTTTCACGGATTCTTCACCGTTATGCGTGCAATATAGCCCGAACCTGAGGATGCTTACGATACACGAGTCATTTTTTGGTAGAGGCGGTAGAATATATATAATTTACGTGCTGTCTATGCACCTATAAAAATGAAAAAAAAAAACTGTGAAAGGTAAAGTCAGAACCGGTTGCTTCAATGAGTTAAGATCATAGTGCATTGACCGCTAAACACGCGTAATTTTTATAGTACATGATCTTAACTCGTGAAAACAAAACAAATGCTGTCTAGCAATGTTTCGTATGTTCATGTAGTGGTAGAGTGCAATGTAACTTGAAGCACGCGTGCTGTCATTTTTACTCCCACAAAAAAGTGGAGTATCGTTTCATCACCGAGTTTTATATCCCCAAAATTCGGATACAATAAACTGGAGACAGCTCATCTATCACATCGCCGGAAGTACGGTTTTCTTTATCGACCTCGTACTTGTTTGCCCTCAGACAGCTCATTTGGGGTGCAGCATACATTATCAGTACCAAAAATAAACAAGCAAACGCACATAGAACAACACCTTGCTTTTTCTGACTGTGATGTTGCCTTGATAACTAAAAAGGCTCGACAAGAGCTCGTAGGAACCATCGCAAAGTGACTTAAAAACTATTGCGCATTTTTGAACAACGCGAGTATACTTCCAAGTGAGCTTTGTTTTTTCTTAGTAAACAAAAAAAAAAATCTTTGGACAGCTTCGCAACAGTGGTGCCACGTTTGAAGAAACAGCGGAACTGGCGGCCTTCCTTATTTTAAGTTTACTTTTTTTTCGCAGTCGTCATCTCTCGTTTGCTCTCTGTTTTCTAGTTCTTTCTTTCTTTTTTCTTCCTATCTTTTGTCTATTTCTTGCATCGTATTCCATAATTTTCTAATATTTTTGCTCTTTTTTCACTTTCTTTCTGTCTTTTTCTTTCTCTCCATTTCTAGTTTCGTTTCTATAAGCTTCCCTCTCCACCCGCTACCTATACTATACAAAGCTATTTCATGTTCCACTAGCGCGCCCAAATAGCAGAACAATTACAATACTCGCCCTCGAATAGTGGGCACGCAGGTCCGTATCCCACCTCGTCAAGGAATTTTTTTTTTTCGCCGAGAATGTTTCCCTTTGACTTTCAGTACTCGTTCTCTTACTTTTCAAAGTTATCGAAATCGTGCTCCAGGCCCATCGGTTTTCTGTACCGAGGACAAAGAGAGCACCGGCTGGCTAATAATGATGATAGTTTTTTGTTCACAGATTATAACCGACACTCGGCATCGACAGCTCCGCTGTTTAAAAGTTGGCACCTAGAAAGTTTCTAAACACTTTGCTATCGCGCAAGACTCTTTTCATTCACTGATCAAGTGCCATGACTGATTCCAACAACTCCATACAGACCAGAAGGCCCACGACGCGGTGGTGAGTCATGGTTTTTCTTCCTTTTTCAACGTAGGATTGGTCCTGGCTAAAAAAAAACAACAACTGGTGGATGACGTCTTCAGAACCTCAATAAGTCTTCGTACCTGTCCACCTACATTGTGCGAATCATTTATTTAAGTAAGCACACAACCAGTTTTCCTGTTTTTAAGTAACATTGCAAATTTATGTTAACACGAGAAGTCGAAAAAACTATTGGTGCACGTAAATATACACAAGAACAGGTAAAAGAAAGGCAGCACAAAAATAGAGAGAAAGAGAGCGTTAATAATTGACGATAATTTTTATGTCATGCTTTTCTCTTTATATATATGGTACAATGACACATAGCAAGCTTAGAATAGAACCAGCCTTTCTACACTGCGGCCCTCCAGTTGATAAGGCCGGCAATCAGCAGATACCGCTGCTCAAGCACAAGCAGTGCAAAACGTTTTCATGTAATCAGCACATCTTAGAAGGGAAGTACAGGGTGACTTGGAGCTTGGCCAGCGACTGTTCCTGTGAAAGCTGAGTCTGTTCTAAGGTCTGGTTAAAAAAAAAAGTTATTGCGTACGACTCATTTCAACAGCACGTACGCACAATATGAATGCGTTTTGCTAGTAGCTCTTTTATTTTCCTTCTCGTTTTTTACTTGAGGAGCTACTTCAGAATCTATGAATTATTGCAAAGGAGGAGGAAGCTCTCTAAAGGGATGACACAAAAAGGAGCACATAGGCACATTTCTGAGTCTCAATCAACCTGTGAAGGACACATTCATGCAGCACGCCTTGCGCACTCTAAGCCTTTATCCGTGAAAAACACCACCGCCCACAATCTGTCTTACCGTGTAGCGACATTCTCCAGGTGTTAAAGTCGCGAGCAGTGTGGTAGGGGTCTCCGCAAGACTTTCATGACAGATGTTTTTTGTTCTGGCGAGGCCAGTTATCCCGCGGTTCACCCCGCGAAACTTGCTCCTCCCCCCTACCAAAGCGGGAGATGGCAGCACAGCAATGAAAAAAAAAAGGTGGATTCACACAAGCTAATACAACACTCTATTTTGCTGACTGGGCACATGCTCTCACCTTCAACCACAGAGGCAGCTTATAGATGCATGAATGTATGTAGGGCGTAGCGTGGCTATGGTTTCGATTAGGCGCGAAGCAAAATGCAAACTCACTGATTCCTTTGATTAAAGAGGCCATGACGTGCAATTTTTGATCATAACCTGTGTTATATGGGTTTACTCGGCTTCTTCCTTCGTACGCTTTGTCAGGCTGACAGTAGTACTTAACTTCTTGCATACACTACCATACTACGGCCGAAGCTTGAGTACGCCTGTCTTATATGGAACCCACTCCGCATGTATCTCATTAACAAATTGGAATTTTCGCAAAACAAGGCAGCGCGTTTTATTACTGGTAATTATGCGCAGCAGTCAGGCATCACAAAAATAAAGTATCAACTAGGTTTCACTCCCTTGCAGACAAGAAGAAAAATATGTCTATTAGCCTTTTTTCATCAGCCTTTTCATCAATCAAGTACTTAATGAAGAGCGCATCGTACCCGCCAAAATTGTTTTCCCACGTATCAAGCACAAATTTAAGGTTTAGCAACCTTTTGCACGCACTAACCTATTACAGTTTTCATGCTTACATCTAGCTATTTCAGAATGAAATCGTTTCCCCAGTAACATAGCTGAGATAGCTGACTACGAAGTATGTAAAAACGCTTTAAATTAGGTATTTGCTTAAGGCACATCTTAGTCTATAACTACTAGCAATTATATTTAACACAAAAATTGTATCTTAACCACGTTGTCACGATGCCTGTATATGCAAGACAAACAATGTGCGTTTATTCCTTGTACAACGAAGGAATGCAGTACGTTGATGTCGGTTGAGAAGCAGTGTACTTACCTACTAGCAATTTCTATTTTTGTTCAATGTTTTCTTTTTTACGCTTATTTCTTTCTATTACTCTTTTTCGATTCTCACATGAATTGTTATGCACCTTCCTATGTAATGCTCACGTTGTGCCCTTAGGGTAAATAAATGAAAAAAAATTAAAGAATATCGGACATTCGAAATTAGGCTGGTGAAATTTTAGCGCATTCGGTTGAGCCCTTCATTTGTTATTGAACATATTTACAAACACGCGAGCAGCTTGAGAGTCGGTCAGCACTTGCGCACTCGCCAGCCGTGACGTAACAAGCAGCTGGCTGTGCGCGCGTCTACATTCCGGTGAACGATATTGTTGGTCAGCTTCGCGTCAAATCGAGATACTGGATCTTTCAGCTCCTTAGCACTGAAATCGAATGATTTGCAGTGGCTGAAATGGTGCCAGAAGACGACAGCACCGCTCCTTGCAGCACCTGACGTGACTGGCGCCATGGCAAAATGGCGGTCGCCGGCGGTGGGTGCGATTTACAGCCGGTGACTTCAAAGGCGTGTTTTGAACCAAAATATTTTATTTTACAGTGCACTTTTTATATTTGTAAAGGCATATTAGACCCTCTGCTTCTAGTTTTCTCTGAAAACTACAAATTGGGTGGCTGTACCATGGTTCTTTAGGGTCACGGTATTAAAGAATTTTGTGGAGTCAAAAATCCTAATGAGTCCCCTACTATGGCATGTCGAATAAAATGATCTTGGTTTTGGCACAGAAGAGCCCAGATTATATTCTAACGATCATAGTAAATGGCTTCCTTTCCTTCCCAATTTTTTGTTATTTATTATCGCCGGTGCAGAATCCTTTGTTGCTCATCGATTAGCAGAACAAAACATAAAAAGGTCTTTCTCAACAACACTAAACTACAGTACAGACTATGTGTTCTTGACGGTAATCTGTCCACAAAAGCCAGTTTGCAACATAGCCGCATGGAAGCCAAAAACGCCTTATGCTATAGGCGAGCCTTTTGAGCAGTCCATTTACTTCATATTTCTGAATATGCTATTACAATGCAATCCCTTGCACAATGTCAGCTGGCTCATTTCATCAACTATGGCTTGAACCCTCTTCTTCCCCGAAAGAGAGAAGATGTAGAATGCAACAAATTCCCGTGTAATATTCGTTCTAACACAACGTTCTAGTGGCTTTAAATATAGTGTGTATAGATAATTGTCACATTAGGTTGGTCATGCACAAAACCTGGTGAATCAGGTAATTCTACTATGCCTAAACAACGCGTATATTCACAAAAGACAGAAGTGGGAAAACAGGACGGGTGCTGCTTATTGTTGCTTTGCTATATTGTCTCCTAGAACTAGTGGCTTTGTTTAGAGCTAATGGATGCAATTCGAATCCATCTGCTTTGTAAGCCTCATGAATACGTCACCGTTAGCAGGAAGTAAGCACCTGCAGACCCCTACTGGGTGCATTGAGCGCGCGCAAGCGTGAAACGAGCCTGTCGCTCTGCGCGAGCATCAACACAGCTCTCGCTTAAAGAATCGAGAAGAGTTGGCTCGCACGCCCGGGTGCTCACCTGACGCAGGAGGCTCCTAACGAAAAAGCTCCTCCGCGGTGAAGGCATGGCAGCGCAGAAAGGAGATGATGCGAGCACGCGACCACGTCGGCCCGGGAAGCTGAGCGGCGGCTTTATTAAGCTGCGCTATCCGCGGAGGGGCACAGCAGACGACGTCTCTTATCAGGTCACGTTTCCCGGGCCACCCTCGCTCTTTGCAGACCCTCAATGAAGTGGTGACAAGAGACAGATTCCGCGTAAACTCTCTCCCAGCTAAGAGGCTGCGGCGCCTGTGCGGTCGCCTTGATCAGGGCACCGTCGATGACGTTTCTGCCGCCGCGACAGCCAGGAGGCAACTGAGGGGCACCTGTCGGACGCCAACTACTGCCGAGTGCGTGGCTTGGAGGGCGGCAATGAGGGAACTGCACGGTTTGCGCGTGTTAGACACCGATTCCCGCAGCGAAGCTCACTGCGCATGATATTCGCGCGTTCCACTGGAGTGTAAAGTACTTCGTCTATCTAGCAATGCGCATACCTAACCCTTTTTGGTCGTTCTTCTACATGAAGCCAGGTACAATGGCCCGCCGAGCAGAACGAATGCTCTTAGTTCAGAGCGCTTCGTCATGACGCACCACCGCGTCAACGTAGCGACTACTCACGTTTTTTTTTTTTGCGTTCGTGTCTGATTTAGCGACACCCGCTCGACAATTCTCGCCGACAATTGAAAGCAGGCGCATCGCTCGAACGATCAAATGTAATCCATATTTTCATGTCATACACGGGTAGCGCATTGTAGCCAATATAAACGCGATTGTACGCAAAAGCACTGTTGCAAGTCGTAGTTAGCCGTATATGAACTGGCAAATTTGCCGGCTTGATAGCATCAGTTCGAAGCCTGTAGCCCATTCTGCACTTGTGAACCACTTCATTGCTTTCCTGTGCACCTGCGCCATATGAAGGGCTTTTTTGCCTCAACACATTTCAAGGACTCAATGTCTCCCTCCCAAAGGCTATCCGTAATCACTTTAATTTCCTACCACCTAAACTCGACTGAGCAGCTCGTTACAAAGGATGAGAAAAAGCAGCGATGATTAATTGAAATAAACGAGGCTACATAAGGCAACCTTGTTGAACGTATCATTGCTTTTAAATGCGGAGCATTCTTTAGTTGCACAATGTCGTGCTTCGGCGTCGGTGGTGGCACCATCCGCACCCTTATTGTGCATGATCGCGTCTCGTGTCATAAGCTCACGTCTCGTGCGTAGACCACAGACGCACATGCTCGCGTCTCTTGCCGGCCCAGGAAGACACCCGCAAAACTGTCGCTCTCCTCCCCATCTCTCGTTTCGCAAGGCTCACGTATGTAGCGTCTGCTAGTAGAAAAAAAAGGAAAACGATTGCTTGACCCTTCACTGGCAGCCTCGTATATGTAGGCAATAGATCGCGCGTTTGGAATTCAGTCAAGGGCATCTTTATTTCACTTTATCTTGACGTTGAAGGCAACGCTTCTCCTTCATCGAGGAAATAGGAATAATAAGACAAAGTACCGATTAGGACTACCCAAACCATACACAATTACGCAACCTTCACCCAATAGCCCCCCCCCCCCCTCTGCGACGCATTTACTCGAGTTTCTCCCGTGCGAAGATGGGGGTAGCATTTTTTAGTCCACATCAGTATAATTATCTTTGATCGGTCCTTGTCACATGTCTTCCAGAGAAACCCACAATGGCGTGTCCTAAAGTATCAAAAGTTTTTATTATTTTTTTTGCTTCCAGCTACAACTAACATAACACAAACCCTCACCCCAGCTTACTGACGTATACGCATTTCATTTTGAACATGCTTGTCTTAACCTAGCCCGGTCAAGTTCCGTCAGGACTCGCCACGGTTGTCTAGTGGCTATACTCGGCTGTTGACCCTAGGTCGCGGGATCGAATTCCGGCTGCAGTGGCTGCATTTCTGATGGAGGCGGAAGGGTGGTATGTCCATGTGAGCAGATTTGAGTGGACGTTAAAGAAACCCAGGTGGTCGAAATTTCCGGAGCCCTACACTATGGCGTCTCTCATAATCGTATGATGGTTTTGGGACGTTAAACTCCACGTATCATCATCACCACCAATTTCCGTCGGATTTTCATGCGCTTTCATACTTGAGTCTTTCATTGCGGAAAATTTCAACGTTATCATACTTGCGCAGAAATTTTGCATTTGATGCTAGGAGTGGAATAATTTGAGCGCCCTGCCATGGTGGTCTAGTAGCTAAGGTACTCGGCGGCTGACCCGCAGGTCGCGGGATTGAATTCCTGCTATGGCGGCTGCATTTCCGATGGAGGCGGAAATGTCGTAGGCCCATGTGCTGAGATTTGGGTGCACGTTAAGAACCCCAGGTGGTCGAGGTTTCCGGAGCCCTCCACTACAACGTCTCTGATATTCATGTGGTGGTTTTGGGACGTTAAACCCCACATAGTAATCAATCTTAATTTGAGTGAGTACGCGTGCGTATATGTACATAGATGAGTGCACATGTTGGTATTTTTTGCGTTTGTGTGCGATTTTGCGCATGCCAGCGTGTACGCTGTATATTATATTTTGTATGGTGTACGTGAGTTCGCGAGAGAGCACATATGCGTTTCTGTTAACGCGCATGCGTATAACGTTCCTACGTGCTGCTGTATGTGTTGCTTGTGCGCATGCACTTCATCTCCTGCCTGCCAATTCTTCGCTTGTGTGTGAGTTGTTTGGGCGTACGCGTGGACATGTGTGTGATCATACATGTGCATGCATGTATGTGAGTTTGTATGCGGTGCATCAATTCTTGTGTTGTATGGATAATGTCCACATAAAATGAAACTTGAACTGCGGCAAGCCTTCGCGATGGTATAGTCCGTGCCATCCAGTTATCACTATTGACCAGAGGTAGATACAGAAGGGGGTGATAGGGTCGATCAGCGCCCCCCCCCCCCCCCCCAATGTCTGTTTCAGCACCCCGCCCCCTTAACTCAGTGCTCGTAGTCTACCTCCCATCACCAACTAGGACAAATTGGTGAAACCACCGTGAGCACACCATAACAGTATTTATGCTACAAAGGGGTGTTTCTCTTAGTAAAAACAAAAAAGTCATGACCACGCCCCCCTCTTCAGTGTTACTCTATGCGACTGCCCCTCCCCTCCCCCTTAAAATGAATGGCTGGATCCATCCCTGCCATTGACAGGTGTGCGCTTCCTGTTCTGCAGATCTGCGCATTTATGCTCGCTTGTCAATCGTGATAACTTTACGGCACGCACTATACGACTGCGAAGGCTTGTTGCTGTTCGAGCTTCATTTGAAGCTGATAGTACGCGCAACGTTGGTACGTGTGACGGGTGCCGATGAATGTGAATGTTGTGTGCATGGGTATCAGGCCCTGGAAACTCAGTGCAAGTTTCGGTTTCAGGGAACATTGGCGGTGCGGTAGTCGTTGGCGGTGCGTTCGAAGATATTGTTACGGATGTGATGGGTTTTATTGCACTGAAAACGTAGAGAAATAAAAAAAGGTTAAGAGTGGAGACTCCCGTAGACCCCAGTGGCCCAATCGACCCTAGCACACCTGGTGGTTGGTGAGAGCAAGTGGCGTGCGCTTCCTGTTTCGGTTTCACTGGCGCAAATTTTGAATTACTTTGCGTAACGGACGTTTGGCTGTGACGAAAGTTCATGATTTCAGACCACTTTTCATCGCCCAAATGGATAGTTTTTGTAGGTCGTTTTGATTTAGCGATTCCCTGTTTTTTTTGTTCAGTGGTTCGTGCGAATTGGTCGTGACGTAATTTTTATTTCGATTATGTTATAATAAAAAGAGATGCAGTTAATGATAATTCACTACGGTTTTATTCATCGCGCTTGTGTTTTTCTTTTGAAACAAGTGATCAATGTATATATCAGTCAAAGAGACAGAGTATCCGCAATGTTTTATTCAAAGGCAAGGTAGAGTCGGAGAATATAAAAAGCACAATATGACAAAGGTAGACAGCAAATGCATCTCGCCTTACAAATAAATTGTGACAAATATTGTAACAAATACAGAGAGAACACAGACAACGCACACATCGCTAGAGTTGGCAGAAGCCGAGAAGCTGGTGAAGTTTGACACACCGGGCCAGTGGGTGAGTAAGGATCTATGGCAAAAACACAGCGCACAATGCTGATGAAGAAGAAAGAAGTGACATATACACAGCAATGTAGTCGCGAATCACGCCTGGGGTTAACCGAAATAATGTATAGAAAAAAAGAGCGCACAGAAACCACACGACACAATATAGCAGAAAGCCAAAGGTGCAGTGTGCTGGCTGTGCTCAAGAACAGCTAGCCCAAAATGAAAAAAAAGCAGACTTGATGCCTGCTTGTCCTCAGAAAGGTAGGGCTTTGCAGCTTGCTCACTACGTGAGAGACAAACTTTGTGCTACAACACTGGCAGGTCTTGTGGTTCTTCTTATGCGTCGCCTTCATCAAAAACTTAAGATCCCAAGTGATTAGCGTCTGGGTGTTGCTGTGACGCTTGCAAGCTAAAATAGATTGTAGTCATCGCTTATCTAGAATTGTGGACCTTATTTGGTGCTATGAGAGCGGTATTACAGGGCTAATAAATAGCAGAAGGAAACCACTTTGGCTCATTATTTTTCACAAAGGCTCTACATCTTACGTTATGACTCACAAGCTATAGAAAAATAAAATGGCAGCGTCCGCAGCCCCATCAAACGCTACAAGTTTGGGTAGTCTTTTGAAAATTTTGATGGGCGAGATGAGGAGGTTGATGAGAAGCTAAAATACGAAAAGCGTGATAACGTGAACCGTTCCCACTTCATACTGTGTTCCTTACCCGCTCGAAGACATTTCAACAAGTGGTTTCGTTATCGATATATTACTTGAGCTGGAGAGATAAAGCATACACAGTGACCAAGTGACCCACTGTGAAGTGTACAGTTCGCCCGCATTTGCTACAAAAATACAGACAGGATACCCAACATTCTTTTTATGGTTATGCAAATCACTTCGAGCGAATACACAGTGTCCCTACTCCTCATAGCGGGTAACCAAAACAATGTATGCAACGAAGGAGTGGTTAGTCCAGTTGAACCTAATATAAGCATATAAGACCATAATGAAGTCTGCTGTAACGAAGTAATAACATAACAAAGCTATTGCAGGAATCGGCTCAACTCGAATACTTTAGTGTAAATCCGCCGCTAATTGCTAACCTTTGAACTTGTCAAGCTGTACGCCTGAGATTGAAGACTGGAACCTAACCCTATCTAAGTTTCGGTTCACAAAACGCACATACCAACATAAATGAACCCGG